ATGCTTATATAATTCACACAAAGTTAAACATGGTTTTCAAAACTGTTGAGCACCCGTGAAATAATGCTGTGTAATGAAATAGCACGCTGCCACCAGTTTGAAGGCTAAAAGCTATAGGACTGTTACCTGAGCATGCTGTGCACATGCACAAACTCCCACCATTCTTAATGAACTTAATTGTTTAAGGCTATCATCGCTTCATTATATTTCACAAGAATTCCAAAGATTGTGATAGGATATTATACACTCCACAAACCAGTCACAGAGTGTCACACTATGGTGACTTTTCCATCAGTCTGTAGTTTTGCAAGGTTTGCTTGGTTTATATTCATTGTAAAAATATTCAGAATAAGTTAATATCATCCTTCCTTGAGATAAAATAGCAAAATTTAGCACACATGCAAAAAGATACCCTATTGTATTTCTCAGCCATTATTCCAACCCTCTTTTACCCCCCTCCAACATTTTTCCCACTCTAGTTTCCCATTCACTGAGTTTCTATTTCCATACAATTTTATTCCCTCTATGTCAGTCTTGTTTTTCACCCTGACTTTCCAAATTCTCCCTACTCAACAGCTCCAGCATCTTCCCCCTTCATTTCCATGAACTCAACTCTCTACTTACCATCGGCATTTCAGTCTGCAGCATCCACTAAATTCCTTCCCCAGAATCTTGTCACCAAAATATCCAAAGGGGAGCTACATTCCTAGCAGAAGCCTTCCTTATAGAGCAGCAATTGGAGTACGAAAAAAAGGTATGCCTTCAAAAGACAGTTGCATACCAGTTCTCACTTCTTGTTAGACACACATATAGAACTGAAAATTATGAACCACTTTATGTGCGCTATGCTAGTTCATCCAACTACAGAAACTGATTAATTAGTTTTCTGCAATCCTCCAACCAAGGAAAACAAAACCACACCTCAAGAATTCAGGAGAACTAGACCATCATTGTTCACTTCATGTTGTGTTATACTTCCAGCTTGGAGTTCCACTCCTCTATTACCCTATTTTATATTTAGGGTCAAGCCAGCAGTTAAAGTTACCTTGACTGATGCTGCAAACAAGAGAGTTTTTTGCCCAGCAGCACAAATTACAGATTTAAAGACTAGGAATGCATTCCTAAACAGCTTCATTCTATGGAACGAGCTATAGGAAAACAGGAGCTCAGAAGCACATAGTTAATAGATTGTGGCAGCTGCAGAAGCTGGTGAAATACAGAAAGTGCATGTTGGTAATAGCAAAGGAAATGCTAACAGGCAACACTTTCCCATACTTGTTTGTAACATTGTAAAATGCTATTAGACTACAAGCATTAATGGCACCACCTGAGCCACTTATATTGTAAGAGGTAAAAGACAGAAAATATATACTAAGCTACGTAATTCTTTCGCTTATGTAACATTCCAAGTGTTAAAATATTTGCAATAAAAGCACATTTCAGAGATACTTAGGTTGTCTGAAGCACATGCAGCCCATTATACAACACTACCAAGGAGGCATCCCAAATCTTGACACTAGGAGCTCTCTAAATTGCATACCTAGAACGTGGACTACTATATTATATTTTTGGGAGGGGATGGGGGAGAGAGTGTTATTTTGTTTTATCCAGTTCTTCGCAGTAGTTACCTGGGTTAACATATGAGCCCAATAGCCAGAAAGAACTGGCTTCTGATCAGTTTCCCATCTGGTTTTCCCCCTGACTTACAGCTGCAGAGGAGATGGATAAATTCTCCTTTATGCCAACTCTGAAATTGATCAGGAGTCTGTTCTTTCCAAGCAGTTAAGCACTCTTTCTCTGGGAATTTCATTTGACCAAGGTGTGAAATTTGGGAAGCCGCTTTGTTGTGACAGCATTGAATAATGGACTCTGTATGTTCCAGATAACCCCAATTCTCTCTGTTGAAATGTTCCGTTTCTCACAAACATACTGCTAACACATGAGTGTTTAAGTCTTCAGTTTTAAAAAGGAAGTGAAACCTCAAACATTGTGTGAATGAAAACAAAACCAATGAGATAAACAGGTCAATTGCCTCACTATTGAATCCTAAAGAGAGACAAGGTACTTGCAGAAGTTATTGCCAGGCAGCTAACAGACCTCCGCACTAACACACCTCAGGCATTTCAATCCATGTTGTTGACTGTAAATTATGATATTAGGATCAAGGATATTACAATCATAAGGACACTGAAATCAAAATGGAGTCTTGGATTTCACACAAATTAAAATGGAACCCAAAGGACTAAAGGACTTTACTGCCAAAAAAACATTGTCTGCATGTTATACCAAATAAAAGCAAGCAGGATCTTATGAGGGGAATAAGGCAAAAAGCCACATTTATTGTAAAGATAATAATAAAAAAATAAAGATAGAAGCAAACAACATTGTTTAACTACTTATTCCTATCACTACTTAACCCTTATACACTTTATATATATATAAACATTTCTTCATACATCCATTCATTCAAGTTCTGTGTATAGTTACCAGCCTGAAAGTTACTTGTGACAGAATACTGGCCAGGTACTCTGTACACAAGTGATGGTAGTGGGGAGCGAAGTCCTGATCAGATGCGCATCTGAAGCTCCTGTTAGGCTGGCAGCAGAACCTTGGACTCTGATTCCATAGTTTTTTAGTCCAGTTCTTTTAGGAATTTCTTCCTATGCCAGTCTATGGAAATTGCAGCATCATGCTGATGTCTCCAGGGTGGCTGCCAGGTGCTCATCAGTGATCTCATCGGGTGGACCTCCAGTACTTGGTTTTCTCCACTTGACACCTTTTGGTTGCACTGGCACCTGACGCCTTCTTCAGCCCTTTGTTGCTGTATTCTCAGGCTGGCACCTCTCAGAGCCATTCATTCATCATCCAAGCACTCTCTCATACATTCATACAGTATTTTGTATAATAATAAAAGTTGTAGTTACAGAAAGTTTCTGGGTGGTATTGCTTAAAACATTCTCTGAGTGCTGAGTAAAGATACAATGTTTTAAAGAGAACAGGCGTCAATTATGTAACAATGCCCTTAGTCAATTACAGGGCTTGGCTCCCATAGCAGATTTAGTGGCTTGACAATGTATTGTTACAATGTATCTCTGCAATGTCAATTTCAAGCAGCCCCTTGTACAAGCTTGAGCATGCCCTGGGACACAGAGGGGGGGCTGTTTCTGGCTACATAGTATTATATTCTTAACAGTTCTAAGTTACATGACCTAATACATTATATTCTAAAGGGGCAATAATAATAAATCTAAACATTTAACAATCTTAACAAATAATAATAAGAAGAAGAATTAATAATAAATCTAAACACTAAGTTGTGGGGAACAAATTATGGGGCGATTCCCCCAAATGGAAGTGAGATTTTCAATACATTAATATGTTATCCCTACATGCACACAACACTGTTGCTCTGCACATGGCACTAAAGTCTGCACCAGGAACTCTAATTTGCACCCAACAGCACACCTTGCGTACTACAGATGCTCCTGCTGTTTTCCAGCCTTGGGACCTTTATAAGCTCAGGCCCCTGAAGAGATCAGGATGGTTCATCTTCGCTTGTTCGGTTCAGTTCATTCGTCCACCTGTTCATAAGCAGCTTGATGTTCTTAAGGACCATGGTGAAGGCCGGGACCTACTACGGGACAGATCACCATCTCTAGCTACTTACAGGATGCTTCAGTTCACTACTGTGGCAATTGCCCAGTGTTGTGGGCTCTACCTACCTGCATCACCAAACCAAGCATACCACCTAGTCCTACTCTGATTATTCTGGCGAAAGCCCTTATCCTGGAGCCAAGAACCATTTCAACTGTGTGTGTGTGTGCGTGCACACGCGCGCATGCGCTACTCACGTGCTGTCACATCGACAGATCAACATCTACATTTGGACTCCTCAGTGTTCCTCCCCTGAGGCTGCCAAGCCAACAGGTTGAAGGTCCTGAGCCTCAGCTGTCATGTACCCCTAGAACAGACTGAATATAGTGTTTCTCTTGTTATGTTGTCTGTGCTATCTTGTATCACTTCTGGGGTGAGGGGTTGGTTTATGCAGTGTTGTATTCTGGGGTTTTTCTTTGTGTTGTCATCTGTTGTATTCAACTATATATATATCTTTTAAATTTGACATTCGTGTCTGTGTTTATTTCGGACTAGAGAAATCTGTCGGTGATAGATACAGTGGTTTCCAGGTCGGACCACCTTCTGGGACAAAGGCATTTTCCCTCTTGTTTGGCCCCAGACTAAATTTTGTTTACTAGTGCACCTTTGTTGGTAAAGATGTGACCTCACCTACTTTACCTGACAGTAAAACTCAAATGACCTTGCTGCCACTATATTTTTACATCTGGGAAAGCAAAGTGTCACACTGCCATCAGCTAAGACAGCTTAAAACTAGACCTGCTAATTTGTGTGAAAACTGCTAACTGTCTTGTCTTCCCTAGAATTTCCTCTCAAGTTAGCTAGTCAAAGCTAAGAGCACACCTAGTGAAGACAGAGTCTGAAAAGTCTATTGTCTAAATAGTAAAGGAAGTAAACAGATGACAGACGACTGCTACTTTTGGCCAGACTTGAAGAAGGTATTATCTAAATAGCTGGATTTGCAGCACCATTTATATTGACCGCTTGGTAAAGTTAATAGCACAAAAACATGGATTTATAGTATCCTTGTCAATACTACAGCTCTTCTTTTTAGAGAAAATAGCGAAATGCATGAAAAAAAATGGTTTAAATGATCTTAAAAAGTCTTATTAAAATTTTAGAACACGATTAAGTTGGAGAACTTAGACATGTTTAGCTTTAGTTTTAGGACTTCTGAATCACATGGATGTTAAGGTGGAACTGAATAAGCACAGTGTAAGTAATTCAGGAAATGAAATAGCTGGGTAACAAAAACCTGACAAGCATCCTATCATCTGCTTCCCCCTTCCCCGGCCAACAACAAGTCCTCCTCAAATTATATTCCATTCCTTTTCCTTTCAGGCAGAAGAGGAAAGGTAAATATTTACCCTGTCAGATGCAGAGAAGCTACAGGGTCTTCATACATCTGAAGTTAGTCTAGTACTCTTCAGTTACACACACACAAAAATGAATACACTCCGACCTTGAGGGATGGAGACAAGAGGGAGGGAAATAGAGTATTGCTGAATACCTTCACTTCATTCTTCACTCTCAAAGACTATGTGCATTAGTCCTGACAGATATTCTGTCTATATACTTGGTTCATTTTTTTCCTCCCAAACACTATTGTAGCCTTCACCACCTCCACAGTGAACTAAGCCAAGATTTTAGTTTTCCTGAACTTGCCTAGGTGGGCTCAAAAGACACATGCGCATACAGCACTAAATCGTATTTTAAAATACTAATTAATAAAGTTATCAATTTTCAAAATTTTAAACAACTTTTCATAAGTCACACAGTACTTTAACCTGACAATATTTCTCAAAGTAAATTAGAAAAGACAATTTTTGCTAAAGCAAGCTTAGCTTAGTAATTTTCCACATGCTCTGCAAGACCTTCTTTCATAACGACAGAACTAAGATCTGGTGCTACAGCAAAACCACTCAAAAGCCAGCACACACTGTTCCATTGTATCAACCCTTACCATATTATCATGAGAGTCAAAATTTCACAGTATTACAATTGGCCTCTTTCAAGAAATTCCCAGCAACTCAGGAACTCAGCCAGAGTGCTGAGGGTATGTCTACACTAGCCCTCTAGTTTGAACAGGCCTAACGTAGGCCTGACGTGATCATGAATTATGACCTCATGGAATGAGGTGTAACAGTTCGAGTTAATGTTTGACTGCCACGTGTAACCGCGGGCAGTTAGTTTGAATTATGGGGATTTAAAAATGGCACCCAGATGGGAAGATGCAAATAAAACCCGGGATATTTAAATCCTGGGCTTCATTTGCAACGTCGAATGCCTACATTAGCATCCTTAGTTCGAATTAGGGGGCTAATGCAGACATACCCTAATTCATGCTGCAATTCTGACTGCAGCCACCACTGTCTATTGCTAGAAAGCTAGCTTTAGACTGCTGTTCTAGCTTCCACTAGTAGAAGATTTTGTTTGCCCTGTCTTGCTACTCTCCTTCCTGTGCTGAAAAGCCCCAGGACAAGGTGAGAAATTATAGGAGTGGTCTCCCAGCATTAAGCAGGGATGAAAAACAAAAAGTCTAAAAGCAAATAAATGTTCTAACCCACATGCCTATCTTTTCCTAGAAGAGATGGATAGAGCAGACAGAAGCCAGGAGCTCCTGGGCAGATGAGAAACTAAGTTGGAGGCAAAGAAGTTAGAGACTGAGGAGAAAGTATCCACTTGTGGGAGGTGAGCAGAAATAGAAGAGAAACAAGTAGGGGGAGAACAGATGGGAGAAGGTACATCTCTTCATCCTATAGCTCTATAACATTACCATTGCCAAAACAAGCCAATTTAGCAACTGTAATTTATTACCAGTGTAGCTACTCATTCCAAATATTGCAACTGATTTAGATTTAAAACAATTTTTTAGATTTGCTCTGTTCAATATTTACATTATCAACCATTATAATTTTAAGCATGTGTTTCACAATATTCTTGCTCCCAAGTCCCAGCTCTTGGAATTCAGAGACTGTATCAGTCTCCATTTTTTTTCCTAAAAATACATTTCTGATTTAAGCCATATTCACAGTTTTTAACACAAGGTTCCCAAAATTTATTTAATCTTTTATATTTCTTTCACTCCTAGTCACTATTTTGCTTTGCGAGTTTCTAGCCAGTTCCACCCAAAGGTTCTCTATCTAGCACAATGCTACAACATCTCAGTTGCAAATATTTTTAAGAGTGTTAATATTTACAAGCCAAATTTTACTGAGTAACTTTAATACTTTATAGCATTTGAATTTACTCCAAAGAAAGCTTACTTTTTTTAAAAAAAAAAAAAAGCGCTAGTTGATTGTTTTGAGCAGTTATTTGCATCTTCCATTAAATGGCTAGATGGATTCAAAAATAAATCCAATAAGTATTTATGTTGATAACCAAATCCAGTAATTATTTAAATACTGAGTAAAGACAGCCAAGGTGAGGAAACATTCCACTAGAAATAAAATCTCTACCAGAATATTTCCCCTCCCCCCCCCCAGTATGGTCCATTGGTAGGACACCCGACTACACTTCTAGAAACCTAGGTTTTATTCCTTCTAGACTTGGTTTTTTTAATGCAAACAGAATTTAGCTAGTAGATGAAGAATTCCTCTCAACCCCTGAATTATTTAGTAATGACCCAAGATTTTTCTGAAAAGCAAAGATTCAAGGAGAAAAAAAAAAAATCAGATTTAACAAGGAAATAAGGATTATTAATTTTTTAGTTCTCTTCAGCTTCATTCTTGTTGCTATGGAAAGCCTCCCAGAGTGAAATTTACCAGTTATTGTCAGTTTCAAAAGGAAAGTAACAGGCAAGGTTCCCTCTAAGCTGCACAGATGACACAGACGCCTAGTAAGCCCAATGCAGGGGCTCAGGACTGCCATGCACAGAGCTGTCACAGTCAGAGGAGATGCCACAACAAGAAACGGTTTTCTCTTTCCTTTCTTATAATCAACATATTTGAAAGGGCACAAAGACAGTGGAAAGACAACCTAATCTAGAGGGTGAAGTCACTGATGAAGATTTGGAGCTAGACAAAGATGTGGAGTTCCCAAAGGGGTCACCCATTGGGACAGGCAGCCAGGAATGGCTCTCCACTCCTGAAGGAGGCAGGGTAAGTAGCTGTGGATTGCTGAGCGTGGAGCTGGGTTTAGGGAATAGAAACTTGGGAGGCTGACTGTTTCTCAGAGATGGACATTTCCCACTGTAGCTAATTGGCACAGCAGAACAGCATGTTGATCACAACAATACTTAACAGGAATCCTACAGAGACATCTCCATGAAAGTTTCCTGGAGGTACAGGCAGTCCCCGAGTTACACGGATCCGACTTATGTCGGATCCGTAGTTAAGAACGGGGATTTCTTGCCCCGAAGAACTAGAGCAGCGGGACGCCTGGTCCTGCCGCCCGCCTTCTCCGGGGCGAGAAAAGCTGCTCCCCTTCTCCAGGGCGAGATGGTGGAGCCACCTGACCAGGGAGACGAGAGCAAAGCGG